AGAGCTGGTTGTGTGGGAACATCCCAGTAGATGGTAGTTTGAGACCCGGCTGCCTGGCTCCAACAGCTGTGCTGTCAGTCCCCTCTGATGCTCAGCGTGAACTTCAGCAGGTCACGTGTCCTCACACGCTCCTCGACTGTGCAACACTGAATAAAATAAAACAATCTGGAAATTTGACGTTGAAAATCTGAAACTGTACGTTGTGCGAGTGGGTGTTAAAGAGTCGCTGTGGTGAAGGTGAGAAGCGTCAGGCTGGGGGGGTGTTGAGAACGAGTCCTGTCTCAGTCACTTCTGCAGGGGGGGTTCTGGTTTAGGACCCGGGTGGCCTGAGAATAGAAGCGGAAGTGGAACTGGAAGCTGGAACAGTTCATTGCTAGGATGGGACGGGTCCTTCAGCATCTGAACTGCTCTGGTCCAGCATCTCCTCGTGTAGATGTCCTGTAGGGAGGGGGAGCAGCCCTGCAGCAGCGTGTACGGATCACTCTGAAGAGCTTTTTTGTCCTTGACACAGCTGTTTCCATACCAGATGTGATCTTCTGTGTGAGGATGCTCTCCACAGCACCTGCATAGAAAGTCCTGAGGATCTCTGGAGAGAACCTGAACTTCTTCAGTTGTCGGAGATGATCCAGGTGCTGCCTGTCAGATCTGAGGAGAAGTGGACATCTGTGCACCCTCTCCACTGGAGCTCCACTGATGATAACGGGCTTGTGGTCTCTGTGCTGACTCCTGAAGTCCAGCTCCTTGTTCTTGCCAACGTTCAGTTGGAGGCGGTTATCCTGGCACCACAATGCCAGATTCTTGACTTCCTCCATGTAGACCGTCTCATCGTTGTTGGAGATGGCGCCGACACCACTGTGTCATCAGCAAACCTCACAGTGGTGGTGGCGCCGTGGCCAATATAATTATTAAAACTAATGATTGATGGTAAAGATCCATGGCCTGTACAGTGACTCATCACACAGCCTGCAAATGTTTGTGTGCTTCAATGGTTTAAAAGTCGAACGCAGCAGCTGTATTTGGTCGTCTTTAAGTGAGCATATATCATCTGCAGAACTGGGCCGAGTTCTGTGTAAGAGTCTGTTATATCAACACGAGCAGTGGTTTCTTTAAAACATCAGGAAACCTGATTCTTTTCTACTTTGCTCGTTTTCCTCCTGATCAGGCCTTTGTTTGTAAATGTACATGTCAGCCAACACAAGTCAGTTTGTGTGCAGAGTTACAGGCTGAGCGCATCATGGACAGCCAGCATGTTTCCACTGAGATGTGTTAAAAGCTCTGGAAACATCGATACAGTTTCCCTCAGTGGTCCAAGGAAAACTGCCACATACAGGATGCTCATGCAAAGCTGAGAGCCGGTGCTGCCACCAGACTCTGAGCCCAGCAGACACACTGCTGCTGTGTTTGGATGTTTGTCCTTAAACCTTTCACAGATAGAAACGTGCCCGCTACACTTCAGGAGC